ATTTAATCAAACGATTAAATTAAAAATTATGATTATTTTTATCAAAAAGTTGTTTAGTGCGTTAAGATTTATTCTTAGTTTTCATTATATTTATTTGATCCATGAACTTATCCACTAGATGTTCTACCTCAGCCCCCCCTGCTCGCTTCTGAAAGCAGTAGAAATAGCTCTATGTGTTCTTTCAAAAGCACAAACGGTAGATAAGAAATTGCTTCATATTTCTGTAGATTCCTTGCATGACAATGAACCATCCAGGCTTGAGAACTGTAGGTTTCTAATTATGGGAAAACGCATTATTCTTTTTACGGTAAAGGTTTAGCTACTAATCGATTGTGGTGGTAGGTATGCACGAGCATGCGGACTTTTGCCGATTGTTGACGAGGACAAAGCACGAAGTGCATTAGAGAAGATTTATAATTACAACTTCCTGAAGGTGCATGATGGGAAACGAGGTGCTGTAAATGGGATGCTGCCTGACGGAACAGTGGACATGTCAAATATGCAGTCGAGAGAAATATGGTCTGGGGTCACTTATGCAGTTGCCGCAACAATGATGCAGGAAGGTTTGATGGATATGGCCTTTCATACCGCAAGCGGAGTCTATGAGGCTGCGTGGGCTGAACAAGGACTTGGGTAAGTAGGAAACCTTCACCTTTTCCTTCTTCTTCTGTCTTCATGTTTTCAATCTGATAACAGCCCGACAAGCAAGCATCGACCCGGTCAAAGGTTTAGATCGCGGATTCAACTGGTCGGCTTGTGGGTCAGCAAGTCAATCAAAGCTATGATCTTTAAGAAAGCAAAATGACATAAAAAAAGAGCCCAAACCAGGCTCCTGGATCAGCCAGTACCTAGCTTGACCTGCCGAGCCGGGCTGGATTTTATAACTGTGGAAGCATGTAAGAAGCCATGAACCATGGAATGCTGAGTAACAGGTTGGTGCTGTGTTAATTACAGGTATTCTTTTCAAACTCCGGAAGGTTGGAGCACCAATGGCCAGTATAGATCTCTAGGCTACATGAGGCCTTTGGCCATCTGGGCAATGCAGTGGACTTTATCAAGACCAAAACTTCACAAGCAGGAAATGAACTTCCAAGTCAAGCTGGAGGATTCTCTCCTAGGGCAGCACCAGCACCATGCTGGATTTGCAAAAGTTGCTCGCTTTCTCAAGTTGCCAGAAGAGGAATCATCTGTGAGTTACTTGCAGTCCTTGTTCGACTATGCTTGCAAGAAGTTTGGCTATGCTTAGATTTTTCTTCTTCTTTTCAAGTATTGATACGTTTGCATACTATCATATATATTATGCTGCAATTTTTATTTTTATTGTTTTTTTACTGGAAAACAGGTTAAACATCAGAAATAAGAAATTATTAAATAGATTTAGTTTATTATACCATTTATAAATTAAGCCTGACATGATAGCATCCAGTATGTTATTATGAAAATGTTCTATTTAATACAATTATGATTTGGATAGAAGATAATATAATTGTGCTTGAATTACTAACAGTTGATGGTGGAAGGGTAGAGTGTTGGGAAATTTTGCCGGATGATTGGACGTGCTATGAAACACGCTTTTACATGCAGGATGCTTGCTTATTTTTAGATTATAAAAGTGTTTTAAAAAAAAATTAAAATTTTTAAATTTTTTTATTTTCAATTAATATTTTTTATGATTTTAAAGCTGATTTTAAAAATAATTTTTTTAAAATAAAAAAATATATTTTTGATATATTTTTAAATAAAGAATATTTTAAAAAATAATAACAACCACACAACCAAACAAGTTTTAAATTTTTATGGTTAATACTAAAAATAAATTTTAAAAAATAAAAAATATTATTTTAATATATTTAAAAAAAACCTTAAAAAATAATAAAAAACCCTTAAAACAGTGGGATACAATTAAAAATTATATAACCCAAAATGTTGTAAATGTTGGCTAACAACTTTGTAAAGTCACCTTTAAATATAAAGTAAGAAAGCATTGATACATAGACAACACGATACTTATCATTAAATAAATAAATAAATATATTCAAAATTAACTCTCCTCGTAAACAAATAATTAAGGAACGAAGGCAAGAAGAAAAAAGAGGACAAATTATTTATGGGACGTTACTTCAAGAAGAGGTTTATAGTTTGTGACTAATGTGACTTGGACAGACACGCGATTTCCGGGGGTTATTAATTTTTTAAAATAAATAATATAGGGTATGGAGGCTATTTAGATGTGTTTTTTACATAAAAAAATATAAAAGTTTATATAAATATTTAATTAAATAAATTGATCATCATTTATCTAAATAAACAAGAAAAAATTGTTAACAATAACTAAAAAAAAAAGATGAATGTAAATTAAGATATTTAGTCCGATAAAATAAAATATTCACTGATTGTATTTACTAAATTTATTTATTTAACTCGATAAAAAAGATAAATTTACACCCTAAAATTGATGATTTAAAAGATAAATACATATAAAACTAATTCAATAAACTCATAGCCTAAAAAAATATTATGCAAGGCCCAATGCATTAACAATATTAATTAAAAATGAAAAATTTTTATTTCGAGAAATAAAGTTTATTTGTATAAAACCCCAAAAAAATATAGAAGAATTAAAATAATATCTTGAAAAATCAAACACAAATAAAACAATTCTAAAAAAAACTTATATTAAAAATTGGCATAAAAAACTTATGATATAGGTCATAAGACCTTAATAAATTCATAGAAATAAAATTAAAAATAATAATAAAATCAATATTAAAAAAAAAACTAATACAGAACTATAAAATCGTAAGAACTCAATCCCTAACAAATCAAATATCAAAAGATAAAACCATTAAAATAAATCAATTACATAAAAGGATCTAAAAAAAATTAAGGGAAAAAATAGCATTAATTAGAGGGCAAATAAAAAATTTTAGTTGGAGGGTTAAATTTAATTAAAAATAGCTTTAACAAAAAAAAAAACAAATCAAAAGAATGAGGGATAAAGTGGTAAAAATAAAGCAAAAAATAAACTTTAATTGAATGATGAAATTGAAAGCAAAAACAAAACTTCAACAAAAGCTCTAAGGAAAAAAATTAAAATTTTTAAAAATAAGGGTCGAAATGAAAAACAAAACAAATGATAAATTTTAATTGAAGGACTAAATTGAAAAAAAAAACTTCTTTAAAAGGAATAAGAATAAAATTAAACATTAAAAGAATGAGGACCAATACTATAAAAAGAATAAGTATAAGTATGAAATCATAAATTAAAATAATGAGGACTGAAACTAAAATAAAAACATGAGTAAGTATAATTGAAGGACTAAATTGCAAAAAAAAAACTTATGTAAAGGGAATAAGAACACAATGAGAAAAAAAATAAGAATTGAAATTGACAAAAAAAATGGTAATAATATATTTTAACTGTAAAAAAAACAAAAACAAAAATAAAAATAATTATTGATGACAATCCAATCATCATCATCCTCCAAACATAATGTCATATGACAGAGACAATAAAAGATACATATATATCCTTAAGCAAAGTTTTTGGTTAATGATTTTAAATTTTTTTAATTTTAGAAATAAAAAAATATTTTTACTATATAATAAAAAAAATACATATATACCCTTAAATGAATAATAATTGCATTGTAACCAACATGGAAACAATTATTCTACCCTTCAATAGTGCTTTAAATATAAAATGATAAAAGGATGAAATAATAATTATATTATAACTATATTGAAAATATTATTCTATCATTAAACAAAGTTTCAAACATAAAATAATAAAGGGTATAATAATAATTTTACAAACTAGGGGATTTAGTGCCTATTTGTTTATGCGGTAGCTTCCACTTTTAAAACAAACTGCACAAAATAAATATTTAGTTATGATAAAACGCATTTTACTATTGATATGGGATCCACACAAACTGCAAATTTGCGGAAAGCAGCTGAGAGCTACTTTTCACAAACTGCTGTTACTCTTTTTCACAAAAATACTTAATTTGTCAAAAGTCAAACCTGCTTGGATGGAGCCAAAAGGATAAAATGGTAGGAGATCATAACACGTGGTTGACAATAGAAAAAGTTACACGGCATTTATCCTTTGAAATAAAATTTAATTTAAAAATTTTAATAAAAGTAAATTTATTCTCTAGAAATATCATAAAATAAAAATAAAATATTAATTTTTTTTAAAAAAAACTATCTAGCCTTTTTTTTCAATACCTTTGAAAAAATAAAATAAAGATAATAAAAATAATATAAAAAATAAAATGAATTGAATTTTATATTTTTTAAACATGCTAATTCAACTTATTTATGAATTGAATTTAAATCAAATACTATAATTGAATTTCAAAACTAACTAAATGCATTGAAAAACTGATATATTTCAAAAAAAATTTATTTTTATTTTTATTTTTAAAAATCTGATATATTTCAAAAAAAAATTATTTTCATTTTTAATTGTGTTTTATTTGAAAAATTAGAAGCAAATCGCTTAATGACGTAGCATTTATAAAATTTAATTGCAGATAACGTAGCATTTATAAAATTTAATTGTAATCTCAATTTTGTTCTAGATAATATTTTATCTTATATTTTTACGCACTTAAAAAACCAATGAAACAATAAAAAATATTTCATATAAGTATTATTTATTTCATTACATACTAATAGTAGTTAAATTTACAATATTTAAATTAAAAACCATCAATTTTAATATATATATATTTTTTAATTTTTTTATAATCTCAATTTAAAAAATACTTTTTTAACCAAACATATTAAATTATTTTTTATTTAACCTCACTTTAAATCAAATATATATTTTATAAAACAACTTTTTCCAAACCACAATCATATTATCTACAACAATACCGAACACCCTCCTGTCTTCTAGTTAGTTGTATATAAGCAACTCAAGTTCCTTATTCCTAGCCGATGTATGATTCTCCACAATGTAAAACTCAACATGAAGGTGACAAAGGGAAAGAGAGCATGAGAAAGAGAAACATTATTGCCATACAGGTTTTCACCAGATTTTTCGTTGTATAGGAGAGAGAGGTTATTGAAATCTCTGCTTCTGCGAGCGGAGATGATCGTAACTGGATATTTCTGGGAAAGATTCACAAGGTTTGATATTCTTCCACGAGTTCTTGGACTTCTTCCTCTTTATCTTAGTATTTTGTTTTTCATGTCTGAAATAAGAGCATAGGATTCTTACAGGCGGTTGGGTTTTATTTTGAAGCTACCAATAGAGCTGAGATTGCTCGGAAGAGAATTCAGGAGATGGAGGAGAGTCGTGCAGGGATTGTTTCTGGGATTGAACGAGAGTCAGAAGGGAAACACCAAGTTCGTCATGCCGTGCAGGAGAGGTCCTCTGAGGTTTACCGCTTGAGAGCTTGAGCTGACTAAGCTTGTGGTCACACGAGGCTGAAGAGAGAGCTGCTCGGGCAGTGGAAGCATACAAGGCTTCTCCTGAGTTTCAGAGAGGGAGAGGGAGAGTTGACAGGGTACTCCAGGGATTCCTATCTTGATGGAGTTGTGGATTCTATGAGTTTGGCTCTTGATGAGCTTCCTGGTGCGGATGTTGGCTTCTTCTACCAGCTGTCTCGAGGGAGAGATCCTTGTGAGTTTGAGAAAAGAGATGATCTGTTATTTTTCCTTGATTATTCCAGATTTTATTATTTTTACCTATTTGTTTTTTTATGTTTCAGGATTCTAATTCTGCATACCTTGTTGAGGTCAGTTTTTTACTTGTATAAAGACTTATAAACCTTATAGAGAGACAAACTTTATCATATTAATATTTCGAAATAAAATAAGATTTTAGAGTAGTTTGTGTGTTAACCCTATTTTAGCTTGCTGCTGTCCTTGATTGTGCTTCCCCTGCATCACAAGGTTTGTAACGCGAATTAGAGCCTGGAAGAAGCTTCTTTTTTGTTTTTTTTTTTTCTAATTGATGCTATTCTCCAGGTTTTCTCTTGGAGGTGAGTGCTGACAGGTTTCTGCACCCAATTGCTGTTAAGAAATCTCAGAGCCGAGCAAAACGAATCGCCTCTGCTTCCTAAAACAACAATGACTTCATTTTCTTCCCTTCCAATCCGAACATCAAAATATTGACAGATGTTCTTTGGCAGACCCACTCGCACTTTTGGCCTTGGTTTCTTGTATTTCTTTCTTGGCTCTCCCTTCCATGCCAGTTCAAATTTATTGACCATTTCCCCTCCAACCCAGTTCAAAGTCCTCAGTTGACTCCAAATTATAGAGTCGACAGAGCTCTGCTTTCCAATCATTATCAGCATTAAACCAGGATGGAAACTCTGCCACAATCATCCATGCACAAAGTGCACGTTTCATTGCAGGCATCTCCTTAGCAATTTCTCCTTTCAGAGACATACTATTGTTTGTGGGGCCTTTCCATTCATGAATCCTAAGAATGACTTTGACATAACGATAACAAAAACAAGAAAATTCAATTTGGGACCATTAAAAGCTCTTTGAGAAAGAACATGGGTGTCTCTGACTGTGTGTGTGTGGCCAAGGATCATTGACAGCAGTGAAGCCACAATTACATCATTCAGGGAAGGTATAACTGCGGGGGGACCAGACTAGTTGGCAAATAACACATAACGTCTAGCTAGTTTGGATTGAAATTATTGCAGTTTTGGATGAAACTAGCTTGGAGAGATTGAAGGCAGGTTGGAAGACTCGGTTGCACTTTCGGCCTTGGTTTCTTGTATTTCATTCTGGGCTCTCCCTTCCTTATCAGGGCATAATAATGTATAATCAGGTCCAGGATATAGAAAGGCCATCTTGTGAACAAAACTAACAGCAGCCTGCATGCATGATCTTTGTGATGATGCTTTTGACCAGGCAGAGGCAGGCAGTGTCATCTGTGGTATCATATCAGATCAGTTTTGTCTGATAAGCTGAAATTTTCAAGAGTAGGAAACCAGAAAACATCCTTTCTGCCTTTGATTGATTAGGGACATGAATTTTACTGGTTCATGGCACAGCATAAAACCCGGACATGAAATTTACATCTAGTAACTGGATTTTGTTCATGGGGATATGCGATGGGACCACAGCACATAAAATAAGAATGTAGAGTAACAACCTGAAATCGCAAATTGTCATCTTGTGAACACAAATCATTCTTGAAAGTGCCAGGCTGAATGAAGAAATATGACATTATATTGCCCACAATACACCATGGATCATCTGAATTCTTTCACCATCTTGCAGTGATATATGTATTGTTCAATGCATGTGTCCAGTCATACACTAAATCACTTTATGCATTATATTCATGTTGCAGCCAGCGGACAAAATTTCATCTTCCAGTTAATAATTACGCTTACACAAAGTTGCTCTTCTCAGGACTTCCCTCAGCAGCTTCCTTCCTTAATGCTTGAAGCCTTTCCTTAAGTTTCTTGCTTTGTTCAAAATTCGCCTTACGCTTTACGGCTTTCTGAGAAAAAAGCTTAAGGATTTACTGCCAGATCAAAATGGTATTTTAGCCAGGAAAAAAAGGACAAACATAATGCTAACTCACTTCCTCCCGAAAACAGCGATCAAGTTTTATTTTGAGTTCTGTGCATTCACCAAAGAACTTAGCAATAGGATGGTCCAAATGACACTTTTGAAACTGCTCAATAATCTGCAAAATATTTTTGTCACCTGGTTCAGCAAAAAGTTAAGATCACAAGTTCATTCCAGAAAATAGCACACCATAGACATGATGTTATACTGATTTCTCTTCCCAAACATCTGCATTGAAAATTTCAGAAATGGTCACCTTATTCTTAACATATTATGGCTACAATCTTACACCCACCCTCTTTTTTCTTTACTAGCCATAGATACCGACTAGTTTTAAGTTTTGTTGTACAAGTCCTCGTTAGCATTCTGCTCTATCCTTATGGTGGCCTTCCATCTACCACAAGCAAGTTGCAACTAGAAGCATCAAAAGATGATGCATGTTACTATGGTGGAGAGACGCAATCATTTCCCAACTGATCTCCACTCCACCACACATCGACAAACACATGGGAAAAAAAAATTCCATTCAAGGATATGTGCAAGAGACGCCCTCCCTACTTCAATGGAAAGAGGGAGATAGCTGTTTAACAGCTGTTCATCTACACTAGAGAAATAAGGAATTCCAATTCACATCAACTAAAACTAGTTCAGGGGATATATCATAACATATGAAAGAAAGCAAACTCACTTCAGCACACATCGGGTGCCTATGTAATGTCAAAGGAGGATGCATTTTCCTGCAAATAATTCAAGCACTTTCACCTGCAAAACACATAAAAGCCATTTTTTAGTCTCACGCAGACATGGAAATTGAAGGGAAAAAAAAGTTAAATAGGGGACGTGAATGTTGGTGAACAGATTGTGAAATTCATAAAATCCTTGCTACATGCACTTTTACATTGGAATTAATTTTATTTATTTATTATCATTCTTTATAAGCCAATGAAAACTCATTAAACACCTTGGGAGCAGATGGCAAGCAACCAAGGAGAAAGAAAACTCAAAGCAGACAAGGTGATTAAAAAAACAGAGGAATCCAAGAACAGACAAGTAACCAAGAACAAAAGAACTTCAACTAACAACAGGAGACATAACAGACCACCACCGCAATGCACAAATTGCAGAGACCAAACGAAACCAACTAAGAAACCAAAACAATGACAAGGATTACTGACTTTAATTAGAGGTGCCATTCCAGTTCCTTGGCTAGGGTTCAGTTCAGATATTCTCAGGTGTGAAGCAAAGAGGATTGAAGGAAAATTATATGGTAACTACCAATATTTACCGCATAGGAGAGAGTCAGAGAGATACAACGAGGAGAGAAAAGATATATTGTTTTAATTCCCTTTCGCCTGATTTTATCTCCTTATGTCTTTCTCTCCTAAGCTGTAACCATTGACAGCTTGAGCATTTTAAAATTTCATGAGGATTAAAGCGCCAGTCTTTGAGAGGGAAGGAAAAGAAAACAGCACAGCATTCATCCCAAGTGATAAACAGTTAAAAGTCCCACTTACACTCCATCCTCTCCTTTATCGGATGAAGCTTCAAACCCTAATCCCACAAGACATGCTTTAACATGATTAATAAACTAGTATCTGCTTAACCTTAAAAAAGAAATATCTTTTGAACCCTCTTTATTGAATTCAATTCGGAAGTTTAATGAAATCCCGTGTTTGGAATCATTTTTAAACATTATAATTGAATTTAATTACATTAGAAAATTGATTACAAATGGTCTATAAATGATTGAATTCAAGAAAAATCCCATCAAAAGAAATCTTCAAAACATGGACTCCGTATCCAGCAAGACTAACCCCATCACCAGGAAAAAAAATATATATATACAGTTACAAAGAAAGAGAAAATCCGTCAATAAATGAAAGAAAACCCAGATCAAGATGAACCCATGATAGATTAACAGTCTCTAAAGTTGATGGTTTGGTAAGAAACGCACCGTTTTCAGGTGATCTGCAGCTGCAAGGGTGATAGCTTCTTCCTCCTCCTCTGGTTGGGAAACTGGGCCAGAACAGCGGCAAAATGAAACTCCAGGGACAGAAGAGCCAGTCGTTATAGCTTAGAGAGTGAATTATAACTTAATCCCTATAGTTTAAAAATCTAATTGCATTTATAGCTAGTTATAAAATAAAAATTAATAGCTTAATTATTTTAGCCATTTTTTATTTTATTAGAATAAAATAAAAATAGAAATCATAAATAAATAAGAAATTACCAGGAAAGAAAAAGTAATAATTTTGAATTTTCTTGTCCTTTTAAAATAAAATAAAATAGATAGATAGTATATATTAATAAAAATTTAAATCAATTATCCAGCTCAAATAAATTTAAAATTAACATTAAAACTTAATTATTTTTGTATTTTGACTTTTAGATTTTTTTTTTTAATTTTCTAAAAGTAGATCCAATAGAAGACATGGACGGATGAAATTAACGGAATATTAACCTTTGGATGGAAGGATAAACAATACCTTAACATTCAAATTTTAAGTATCTAATTATCAATTTGTAAAAATCATACCACAAATCATCATTTAGTTACTATCTCAAAATGGATATATTTTTTTATTTTAAAATGATAAAAAACTCATCTTAATCTCATTTTAAAATGGTAAAATAGAGAACATAATATTTGTATTTTAAAACAGGAAAAATTAGTCTAAAATGATTTTAAAAATAAATTTATTTCATATTTCTATTTTCATCATTCCAGCTGAACACCATTATCAAACACAGGTGTATGTGATGATAGAAGTGTTTGGAAAAGCTTTTGTTTCTGATTTTATATATTTAAAAAGGTGTTTTTTTTTTAAACATATTAAATTAATATTTTTTATAATCTTATAATTTTAGTATGCTGATATTAAAAATTAAAAAATCAATTTAAATATATTTTTTTTTAAAAAAATATTTTAAAAATTATCTACATCACAAATCTCAAACACCACTACCAAGTTGTAAACTCCTTGTAACCTGAACCAAGCATAATTGCACAGCCTTGTTGTTGAAATAAGAGATTAATGATAATCAATTGCTCACTTGCATTTAGGAGTTATTTTATCTGGTTGGAAGAATTTCCCTTGTGAAAAGAACATGAATCTGCTTTAAACAAGAACACGATCATACATCAATATCTATTTTTTTTTCTATATATATTTGAACATTACAGAACCCTCATGAAACTTCTGCCCCCCAACGAAAGCCAAGCAGAAGGCTGTCAGGGAAATACAAAACCATGTGCAGTCCTTATTTGCATGAATCGAGAGTAAACGGATTTCCATGCAGAATTTCAAACCACAAGCAAGAGCATCCATTTACAGATTCAGCAAACTTGCTTTCTTTAATAAAGAGGTGTGCTTCCCTCCGCTATCCACAAGAATTCAGTCACTGCTGAGTATACGAGGTAGGGCTAAAGTTTTCTGTGAATGGAGGTAAAATCTCGTATACCTTGTGATGGAACTGGTTGATCTCTGATGCGAGATAAAAGAATAGAAACTTGCTCGGTTGCAATATCCAGTCTCTCCTTTGACTTGGCAGATTCAGTTATGAGACTTGATACCATGCTCTGCAATAACTGAATTCTTTCACCATGATCATTGGAACTGTGAAGAAGCTTTGCACTAGATGTGTTAATCCGACGCCAACGCAAAGGAAGGTACCTTTCTGGGATCTGAAAACAGTTTCCTGTGGAAAGAACTCGAAGGGCATGTCGACAAAGGATTCCAGAGAACTCAAACTGATTGCAGCTGCAACTAATAATTCCTTCCCTAGGAACCCAATATACTTTCCGGCCTCCCTCATCTTTGGTGTGGTGTCTCACATGAAAACCATCCTCCATCTGGAATGATGCGTAGTGGGCAGCCAAAACAAGTTGTTCTTGGAGCTTCGAGAAGGCATAAGGAGTAAGGACTGTGGCTGCATGGGATTCCATAGGTGCCCCAGTTTTTAAACTTATGTTTTGCAGATTCTGCTGCATTGTTTGCTGTTCAGCCGCTTGATCTTTAAAATCTACAGCTACAGCTACCTGCTTGTGCAGAGATGAGTCAAGAACATAGAAAAGTTTTTCCACAAAAACTATAGTGGGATTTCCGCTACACCAATGGTTATAGTGGCAGAAAGTTTCAATGTATCATAAACAATAACTGGAATCACAAAGTGGAGTTTCTAAACCAACAGGAAATCCAAGGGAAATTCTAAGTACATATAGAAACCATCATTTTTGGCAAGAAAGATAAATATCCAAATAAGTGTACATTCACAAGTCAAACAACTTCAATAGCACATGATTATGAAGATTATAAGTTTCGAATTTCTAAGATGGAAGACCAGCCCAACCCAGCTGGACTAACTGTATGATTTCATTGATTTATCGAGTGTAAGAAATGATCATGATACTGTGTTAAAATTGGAAATCTAAACAAACTAGGGGAAATAAACTTGAATATCCCTTTTGATCATTGCTTCAGTAAGCTGCATGTTTCTTTTCAACATCAGCAAAAAAAAAAAATATCCTTTCTCTCTCAAGGAAACTATTTTTACATGGACAAACGTCACCCTCGCATGACATCTCAAGCAAAACAAATTGACAAGATGGCTGATTCCAACAGTTAAAAAAACCTGTCATAGAATTGGGCATGTCATCTACTTGGATAAATGATAGATAGATCAAATCACAGCACTGGATTGTTCCACAAAAACTCTTTAGAAAGATAAAGGAGCCCTTTTGTAATTATAACAATAGTTTGCTTTTTAGGACGTCTATAGGTAAAAATCATTCCTCATGTCCTGATATAGCAAAAAATATAAATTAAATGTGATGTGTGAAGATATTAGATGCCACATGTGTATTCTGCCTCAAGTAAGAGCAGTCCAAGGGCCAAAACATAGCATATTGAATCAGGCATGTAACTTGTAACATACCTGTTCCACAAAGTGTGCAAGCCGAGTTTGAGCACTCAGAAACCTTTGGATGAAAGCGTTAATTGATTTTGAATGACCAGCTGCAGTCATTCCCGCAAAGAAATGGCTTCTCAAGTATGGAAGAGCCCAAAGATTGCGTAAGGCATGCAAGTTGGCAACGTGCCTGTTTGTATGCAGCCCAAAAATATTGACCATGTCCCTCCAACCCAGTTCAAAGTCCTCAATTGACTCCAAATTATAGAGTCGATAGAACTCTGCTTTCCACTCATTATAGCGTTCCCCCAAAACAGCATTAAACCAGGATGGAAACTTCGCCACAATCATCCATATGCAAAGTGCATGTTTCGTTGAAGGCATCTCCTTAGCTATTGCGTCTTTCAGGCACATATTCTGGTCAGTTAATATTGTTTGTGGGGCCTTTCCATTCATGAATCCTAAGAATGCCTTTTGACATAAAGATTACAGAAACAAAAAATGTCAATTTGGGACCAATAAAAGCTCTTTGAGAAAGAAAACGTGTGCCTGTGATTGTGTGTGTGTGTGACCACAAATAATTGACAATAGTGAAGCCATAGTTATATCATTCAGGGAAGATATAATTGCAGAGACCAGACTAGTTGGCAAATGACACATATCAAGAAGCTCAACTGAATTTACTGGAAAATCTGACGAGCATGTGTTGGTGAATGTCTGGCGTACCCCCAACATTCAAAAATGAGTCAAAAGGGTAAGAAAATAGAACCTTAATTTATGTGCCCAATCTGTATTTGTGAACGCTACAATAACCTCATTGGCCAGTTATTTCAAATGCCTCATCAACTATCCCTTGCCAAACATCCAACTAGTATTGCTATTTAGAATCTATATATATGCCTCTGCCTCCCCATTCTTTTTGCAACCGTGAATATGAAAAGGAGAGGGGCAATTAATGGACAGGTCCAAGTAAACTTAAAGGCACTACATGAGCAATACAAGGTGATATGGGTAATTAATCGACAAGAGAGATTATTTTTACTCTATTACCTTTAATGCCCATGACAGCGACCTCAAATTTTCCTCTCGTGAAATTACACATCCGAAGAAGCAAGGCATACCATAGTTGTTCATTCCCACCCATATGCCGAGAGGCAAGTCAAATGCAGTTAAGCGATGTGTTGTATCAAATACCACTGCATCACCAAAGATCTCATATGATTGGACTGATGACGCATATGACCAGGCAATGTTCTCTAACCTGTTGTCAGAATCGAGTGTGTATTCAAATTTAAAGTTGGGGTCCTTCTCCTTTATATTTCTGCACATTCTTAATAAGTCCACGCTCTCATCCTCTGGGTCCAGTTTTCGAAATGATTGAAGCAAGTTCCTCACATCCTTTTCAGTGAAGGGCAAATATCCTGGCTCTACACATTTTTCAAGCTCCATGAGTCTCATCATTTGCTGCACTGAAATTCCTGTTTTGGCAAACATGAGGATTCTGCTCTTGTCCGTATCTGATATGGTCCGATATGCAGGAAGGAACCGAACTTGATTCGGTTCTAGAAGTTCATGATTATGGTGATTATCAAAACCTGTGACACGCCATTCTGGTGCTCCTAACTCTGTGACCTTGCTAATCCTCATGTATGCTTGACACCCACATCGAGATGATTTTCTATTCCTTTGAGGTTTATTTTCGTTTGAGGTTTTGACAGGGGTGTTTCCAGCACGGTGGCAGACAAAATAACGTCTTGTTAGCCCTTTTCCAACCCCATCTTTGCCTTCTGTGCGGTGATGACGGATTGAGAATCCACATCTTTTTGCAAATTCACTATAAAATTCATAACCTTCATCATGAGTAGAAAATCTTTGTCCAATATATGGAATTGCATCATTAGGTGTTTCTAGTGATAGTCTGGTTTCATCAGGCGATTCCTCTGTGCTGCTTGTATCATCCAACGACAAAGATCGCTGGTCCGATGGATCATCATAAACAACCAACATTTGGCCAGCCTCTTCAGACATCATATTTTCTCATTAACCTATGAAAGATCAGCTTAAGGCCCTGCATCCAATATGCCAAAGATATAAACAACCAATTCAATTCTGATGTGCAAATAAACACTACAGTATAGAAAGCAACAACATACACGTGCCAACACAAGGCTGCATGCACAAAGGCCAACTGATGAAAACTAAAATTACAATATTCTCATGTTCTACAACTAAATTCTGGGGCATCCATAAAAATGATGTAAGAACTGGACAAGTAAACCTGCCCCTTTCAAGCATTGAAAAGCAAGAAAATGTTTTATCCCATCCAATGATGAAAATAGAATATGGTGCAACTTGTAAACTTGACAAGGTCATAGCTAGGGAAGAAGATCCACTCATATTCACTATAAATTCCCAATCTTCCACAGTGCTCAACACTGGATGCCTATTTCCAAGCTAAGAGATTTCAGCCATTTTCTCTTTCTCCTTTCCTCAGCATCACAGCCATCTCAAGTACAAGAATTATTTACTCCACATGCAAACAAAATGATTCCCATTTTTCCACATCACCTAACAAAAAACACTAATTTCAAGATGTTCCAACCTAGAAAATGAATGCATTGAAAGGTTCCATCTCCATTTTTCTCCTTTTCACTCCCTATGTTACACAACTTTTAGCCCATATGAATCAAATATATCAACTACCCAATTCACCAAATCACTCCATCATTCCATTCCAGCTTTCAATCTCCCTTCTGCACTACAAGAAAAATGCAATACAGACATGTGCAGCACAATACAATACAACAAAATCCAATCATATTAGCAATAGATTCTCGAACTTTAACACTACCCATTATCAACAACACTAAAACAAATAGGGGTTTCGTGTTTCATTTCAAAAATCACATAAGAAAATTAAGGAGGAGAAGGAGGGTACCAATCAATTGTGGCTTGAAACTACAATTCTGGAAAACGTTTTTGGCGAGTGACCAGCCCTAATATGCGCAGGGAGGTGATGAGGACACTTTTATATATCGTGCGCACATTTCTTATCCTACGCCTTCTCTGTTTCCAAGCAGTTACCTGTCTGTCCAAGTGAAGGGTTCGGTTACGTGTATGACCAATTACCTTCCTTCGCAGCCCCTCGTCCTTTTTAACTCCAGATTTACACAAATATGTTCATGAGAGGGGAAAAAAAAAGTAATTTTACTCGCAAATCAAATTAATTTTTTACTATAAAAAAATATATAAATTTTATTAATATCTTTTCTAGTAAAAAAAATTTAAATTGTATGAAATTTAATTAAACATAACCCAATTAATTTGATAAATTTAAAAATAACTTGAAAATAATAAAATCGTAATTTGATTTAAAAAATTTAAGATAATGTGTTTTAAAAAAAATATTAAAACAAAAACATATTAGATAAATCTGAATTAATTTAAGTTAACCTATCATATTTACAGCTCAGATCGTAAAATCAGGATAACTTTATAAAAAACAAATTAAAATCAAATATAAAACTCAATTCTCAATTAAACCAATATTAAAGCATAAAATTAAAAAGAAAATTCTATTAAAAAGAGAGACGATAAAATAAACAACTCGAATTAATATATAATTCGAGTAATGTGATTATAATAACTTTATAGAAAGAAAATTAAAATAAATTATAAAATTTAATTTTTAATTAATTTAATATTAAAGAACTAAATTAAAAAATATAAATATATCAATTGAAGAAAACTTAAAAACACGAATTAATCAAGTTTAACTAACTAAACTTATAACTTAGATTGTAAATCCCTAAATAAATAACTAGGTTAATGATAAATAATTAAAATTAGAATTTTAATTACTAAAACTTTTAGATATAATTAATTATTAAAAAACAGGTTGAGATATCTCATTGAAAGAAAAATACCTTAATTAATCAATTTATGTGCACTTAGAAGACTTACAATGCTTATTTGTGTTTTTTCCTAGTTTAATTTATCATTACTTAGTTTTTAAGATAAAAAAAATTATAGTAATATTGTAGTAGTAATTATGGGGACTTAGGAATTAAAATAAATAGCTCACTTGGCTAATTTTTTCCTAATGTTTTTATAAATCACATGAAAATAATTAGATTAAAGGATGAAAATGAGTGTTTGGATGATCTAGGAATGTTATTTATATAATTTGATGGAAATTAAAGCTCGAGAGAAAGAGAAGAATTGGTGAATTTGAGGGAGAAGAAATCAAGCTTTTCTTCTTGATTACTTCACATTAAAGGTAATAAATCTTGCTTTTAGATCGATTAGGACATTTTATTGATTTTCAATTTGTAAGGCATGGAATGAAGGGAGAGTCGTTTGTTTTTGGCGGTTGTCGTTTTGCCTTTTGTTTAGCATTACTTCTCTCATCAACTTTCTTTCATTGAGATATTCTTTGCTTTATCCCTCTACATAGGCCTTTTTTATTTATTTTTTTAGAATTGCTAAAACCAATAATTTGAGGACCATGTTGAGAATTGGTCTGCAGTTGGGAAAAATTGTATTTTTCATACAAAAAAAAATCCAAAATGAGCTATGCATTTAGGTTTTTTGAGTAGGAAAACTTTGTTTTGGAGTTTTAAATGTATAAAAAAAAATTAACTTTGTTTTGGAGTTTTAAATGTATAAAAAAAATTACTATTTTTTTAATATAATTTTCTTTTTTTACTGTGAGATTTTGGTAATTAGCATGAAGTGTGTGTATATCTTATGACTAATAAGATCCATAATATTTTATTAAAATTTTAAAATATATCAGATTGATGTAAATGGTATGCCTTTAAAATGATTTGGAAAATGGCCTAATCTTAACTGATTTTATTAATATTTGACGCATAATTAAACATAAAAAATTGAAAACTTTTTAACAACAATCCCTTTAAAATATTATATACTATTAAGTGCTTGAGTATTAATTTTCATGTATTAATAAATTACTCATTATCAACATTTTTTCGGTGTTAATTTAGTTTTGTACGATTGTATTAGTTTTGTGTTAGGAAATATTTACAGTACTTAAGCTATTAAATGGTGTTATTCTATAAATTATAGCTTAGCTTCATCAACCATGTTCTTGGTTTTAGTGTGATAATCAGCAAAATATAGGTTTAATATGGGTAATCAAATCTTAACTTAAAAGGAGATTCAAATAATCAAAAGAGGAAAAAAAAAGTTGAAAATCATGGAATATAAATTTATCATACGTTTCAAATAATGTGATTGTAATTAGTAAAAAATCAAAATCACCCCCACAAAATCTTAGCTTTCAGATAAAAAAAATTCATCTAACTTTTTTTTAGAAATCATAATTTTCAAATAAAAAATTATATACAAAAAGAAAATTCTAAAAGCCTATAAATCATGTTCTTGGACTTTCTTCTAAGAACTAAAATAATCATATTGTTTAAAAAGTATGGTAAATATCTATTTCATGATTCCAAACTTTATTTGTCCTTTTTAGACCATGTTTTAAATCAACATATAAATATTTATATTAAAAGTATGTTTGAAATTATAGTTATAGTTATTTTTTAACTGAAATGTATTAAAATGTATTTTTAAATTATTTTTAAGTTCGGTTTATCAAAACATAAAAAATTAATAAAAAAAATTATAATTTTTTAAAAATATGAGTTGATCTGCATTTCCAAACGCTCTACAAGATTACATTTCCTAGCCATCCAAGCCAAAACTAAAAACAAATAATGTCTCATATTAATTAATAAAATCAAATTATAAAATGCAACTAATTATAATTTATTACCATGAATTTTATTTATATGTTCAAAAAAATTAGCCAAGCTAGAATATTCAAAGACTTAAACTAGCCCATCACATGCATGCCTCAATGGGCTAACCTAAGCTAACCATCTACCGATTCTCATCAATTATCTTAACTGAGTCTCCAAAGTAGCAGACACTCTTCAATTGAATCCCATAATCAATTCCTTTTAACACGTTGGTTTTTGAGAACAAGAAATAAGAAGCAAGATTTTAAGAAAGAACACCCAATAAAAAATTATATTGCGCTTTAGGGATTGAGTTAAAAAATGAATAATTGGAGGACCATATCGATACTAAATTTAAACTAAAGGACTAAATCAAAACTATACTTAAAAATGGATTTCCACTACCATAAAGCACACCCACCACCCCCCTTGCATTCTCTCTTTGCTTGATTGTATTTTGGCACTTAAGAAAATCACCAAGGACCACATCAAGACTAAATTCAAGATTGAAGGACTAAATTGAAACTACCCTTAAAGTAGATTTACATTAAAAAACGCACGCTTCCCCAGCACTCCCCTCACTCTATCTTGCATGCTTGTGTTTTGGCACTTGAAAAACACCAAGGACCACATTGAGAATAAATTCAAAATTAAAGGACTAAATCGAAACTATCCTTAACATTAAACTCCAATAACGCACGCTTCCCCACCACTCCCCCCTACATTCTCTCTTGCATGTGTGTGTTTTTAGGCACTAAAAATAGCCCCACAATCTCTATTATACTATAAACACGAACACAAAAATCCAAACTTTATTCGTTGGTCATTGGATGGAATCCTATCTCTCTCTCGTCTCCTCTTGAAAGGGAGGCTGCTTTAGGCTTCTCAGACACGGTGGCGGTTGTGAAGGGGAGTTTGACAAAGTGGGTGTGTGTTTGATGGGGTTTAGTTATAGCTGTAGTTGCCCCTTTAGCATTACTTTCCCTCGTCAACTTTCTCTCCTGTCTTTGAGAGAGATATTCTTTGCTTTATCCAACTACACAGGGCTTCTTTTTCTTTTTTCTTTTTAGTTTATAAAATAAATCAGAAAAGGGTCTCCTTTTTTCCATCTTTCGGGGTCTCTCCTGCTGCTGCTCTTTTGTTCCATTAAAATGAAGACTCTTAGTTGTGTAAGCTCTTTCTATCCCTCATGCAAACAGGCAGAGTTTGGTGGGTTTCGGATGATTTCTTCCCTTTCTTTTTGTTTAAATTCTGGGAACTGGTTCAACTTGACTAGTTGTAACTCTCTCGCTCTCTCTCTCTACGTGTGTGTGTTGGTGTTTTCATAGTTGATGATGGTTGCTTTTGTTTTACTTTATCTTAATTAGAAAGGGATAGCTGGGAAAGTACGACTTTTTGTCCCTTCTGTGTTTGGTTGCTGAGAAAGTTTGAAATTCTTGTATTCTCATGGGTTTTTTTTTTTTTAATTACAAGATCCCTTGGAAAAAGCCTCAAATTTTTATTGTCTATGTAAATCCAAATTGAACTTCCAAGTTCAAATTTTTTAACGGCCAAGTGGTAATAAAACAAAGACCTTTTCTTGTAGCTGTAATTGAAGAGGTTTTGCTTGCAATTCTCTCTGTCCCTTTAGTTTTCTTCCTTTCGTGGGCGGGGGATGGTTGGATTCGAACTGTTATCCCATAGGAATTGTAATCTCATGAAGAACTTTAAAATGTTTATATGCTCAGTTGTCTAAACTTTGTATCGTAACTGAATTGTATGCCAATTTCAAATTTTGACAAAAAGACTTGGTCTCTAGCTATTCAGTTTTCTAGTTGATGGAATAATCACATTGATGATACTTGCAATTCTTAGATTATGGGCTTAAAGTTTAGAAACCAGACTATGGATTTCGAGCTTTAGAACAGTCGTTTTCTACTCTTTTATTGAAGTTCTTGGTTGACAAGAAGAAGTTGTCCGTGATATGCTTCACTAGCTGACCATTTTACTTGATATCAGTTCAAGATATGATTTTTATTTTTCTAACACTGCATTCCTTTGCTAATATTTTCGTATTTCGGTAGTCTATGGCTTGATGATAGCTTTCTGGTTCCGTTAATTGTTGATTGGTTGGGTATTAAGGCTACCTTTTCTTTTCTTTTCTCATCTTTTTTC